CAAAAGGACTCCGTATATTTCCAATGTTGGGACAAATGGTACGTTTGGTTGAACAACAGACGCCCAAAAAGTCAAGTATAACCAGGATTATGTTTAATATATGTTAAATCTGACTGAAGCCTATATACCGTAGAAAGTGTAAATATCATGTAAAGTTCCTGTCGCGATCATTTGTCTGACTATTTCTTTTTTTTTTTGATGTATTGTTTTAAATAAATAAATTTACAAAAAAAAAAGGATGTATTAACGAGGAGAAAATAACATTAGTTAATTTATATGTATCAAATGTGAATCAAAAAGATTTTTTGAATAAGATTACCGATTTGTTGCAAATTGAAAGGGTAGGGAAGGTAATTATTGCTGGTGATTTTAATTTAATTAGAAACCAGATGGATAGTACCAACCCTACCCGCTATGGTGGAATAAGAAAAATGGGGATACTTGATAATTGGATGTTGCAAAATGGTGTAGTAGATGTTTGGAGGGAGATTAAAGGTAATGAAAGAATGTATACTTTTTACTCAAAGGTATTTAATTCATATTCAAGAATTGACTATATTTTTGTATCCAAGAATTTGATGGATAACGTGGATAATATGGATGTTGGAATATTTAAAGACTCTGACCACACAGAATTGTTACTAGAATTAGATATGTTTCTGGAGAAAAAAGAAAATTGTTGGAGATATGATGAAAAATTGCACAAAAACGAGGAAGATAAGAATCGTATTCTTAAGAAATGGGAAGAAAATTGGGATTGGAATGATAATGGGGAAGTTAATTACGGAATAGTTTGGGACACAATGAAAGCAATTTTTAGAGGAGAAAGCATTTAATTATCAAGTAGAAAGTATAAGAATTATAAAGTAAGAATAGAGGAAAAGAAGAAATTGATAAAAGAACTGGAAAATAGATTTTTAGTGACTAAGGATAGGAAATTATGGGAGGAACTTATAAAATTGAAAAATAAACAAATAGCGGAAGATACAGAAATAGTTAAAAAAAATTAAGCTATTTAAAAGTATGGTAATAAAAATTCAAAATTATTAGCAAGAATGGCGAAAGATAAAAAAGAAAAAAGAGAAATAGGTGTCCTAATAGATGAAAAAGGTAGGAGATGTTATAAAAAATTAGAGAAATGTGAAATTGTTAAAAAGTTTTTTCAAGAATTATATCTCAAAAAAGAAATTGATAATTGTAAATTAAAAATTTTTTTAGAAAAATATGGTCAGAAGAAAATTGATAATAAATATAAAGAAAAAATGGAAAAGGATATTACCTCTGAGGAAATTAAAGATGTGATTCAGAAGCTAAAACTTGGAAAATCTCCAGGTGAGGATGGGTTACCAGCAGAATTTTATAAAGAGTTTAAAGAAACTTTGATCCCAAAACTACAGAAATTGTATAATAAGATATTACATGGAGGCGATATTCCCATGTCCTGGAATAGAACAATTATATCCTTAATCCTGAAACCAGGTAAAGATTTAGAAAAAATTGAATCCTATCGGCCCATTTCCTTGATTAACCAAGATGCTAAGATATTTACTGCAATTGTAGCAAATAGATTGAATAATTTTGTAGATAAATATATAAACCACAATCAAGTAGGTTTCGTTAAAGGGCGTTATATGTGTGATTTAGTTAGCAGAGTATTAAATGTTATTGATATTGCTGAAAATAATGGTGACAAGATAGGAATTCTTGCCTTGGATATTTTTAAAGCCTTTGATTCTATACAATGGGATACTATAAAAGAAATGATTTCTGCATTAGGATTTGGTAATAAATTTATTCATATTATTTCTAAATTGTATCAGAGGGGTACGGCAAGAGTGAAGGTAAATGGTATATTTACACAAGACATAAATTTGGAAGCAGGGACGAGACAGGGTTGTCCCCTGTCTCCGACCCTATTCTTATCAGCAATGGAAATTTTAATAACTTTGATTGAAGAGCATTCAGAATTAATAGGTTATAAAGGCATCAAAGTTAATTTATATGCAGATGACACTCTTGTCATTTAAATAATATTACAAATGATATAAAAAGAGTTCAAATACATTTGGAAAAATTTGAAGATATGACTGGTTTGAAAGTAAATTGGGCAAAATCAGAATTATTAATAGAAATTGATAGGGAAAACAAAGAAAAATTACAAAATCAATTTGGAATTAGGATAAAGGATAATTTAAGATATTTAAATAAAAATTTAAAGAAACTAAACTATGACATAGTAATAAAAGAAATTGAAGAGAAAATTGGGAAATATAAAAAACTAAAGTTATCTTGGTTTGGTAGAGTAGCTATATGTAAAATGATGTTACTTCCTAAATTTAACTTTTTATTTGAGATGCTTCCGATTTTTTTAACTGAGAAGGATATTGAAGTATATAAAAAAAAATTAGATAAATTTTGTAATGGAGATAAAAGATCAAGATTGATTAAGAAAATGTGGTATCAGAACCAAAAACAAGGTGGTTTAGGAATTCCAAAATTATTAAACTATTATAGAGCATTTAATATAAGAACAGTAGTAAAAATTTTAAAAGGAGACGTTGAACTCTGGGGTAGTTTGGAAATGAAGGAAATAAAGAAGTTTGGTTACAAATGCTTTTTGGAAAATTTTAAAGGTAAGGTTAAAATTTGTAATTATTGGTTAAATAGTCTGACTAAAAATTGGGATAGAGTAGCAAAAAGATTAATACCAGACGTATTGTATTTAGGTAAACTGAAAGAGAATTGCCCAATGAAATTAAATAGTAACAGAGAGAGGATTATAATAGAAAAGAAAGTGGAAACAATTAGTGAATGGTTGAAATTTACAGAAAATGAAATGAGGAAAGAGGAAATTTATGGAAAATTAAACATTAATTGGTTCGAAAGAATTCAAATGAATAAATGGAATAGGAATTGTAAAGAAAGGAATGATGAGAGTAGAAAGGAAACAGAATTTTAAAATTTGACATCTCGAATAATAAAAGATGAAATTGGGCCAAAGGGATTAGTTAGCAAAATTTATAAAATTATTAACTTTGATAATAATTCACAAATGGTAATGAAAGTGAATTGGGTAAAAGAACTGGGTATTGAAATTTCTAATCAAAATTGGAATATGAACTGGGTTAGCAGAATAATGAGGACATTATCAATAAGGATTAAAGAACATAATTATAAAGTTATTTGGAAGTGGTATTTGACCCCAATAAGACTTTTTCAAATGGATAATAAAGTGGATAAAATGTGTTGGAGATGTCAAGTGGAACTTGGGACATATGTTCATATGTGGTGTAAATGTAATGGGGTTGAACTTTTTTGGTCTAGGATAGAAAATGAAATATTTGAAATGATTAAGAAGAGGGTCAAATTGAAATCGGAAACCATATTATTATTAATATTAAATGAAACAACATTAACAATTGGATTTTGGTTATAATGGGGAGAATTATAATTGCTACATATTGGAAATTAAATGTTGACTTAAAATTAGAAGAATGGTATAATGAAACATGGACATTTGCATTAAATGATAAATTGACTTGTGATATTAAAAGTAGAAGTGGTATATATAAAGAGAATGTTTTTTGGAACACTTGGCAACCATTTGTGGACTTTCACTTGGGAGATTGGATGAATCGGCGCCAGTACCTTATCAAAGAGATTTCTGGAAGAATTGAAGACTTTAATTTCCTAAAACTTCCTTTCCATTTGTATAGCACGTTGGGGGGGGATTTTTTTTTTCTTTACTATTGATTTTTGTATTGTTTTTTTTTTCTTTTTTCTGTTATTCTTTAACAATAAAAATACAATAAAAAATATTTTAAAAAAAACAAATGATTTAACTTGAAAAGACAATGATCTAAAGAGGACAGTCAATGCAGTCCACTAAGACAGTGTAGCACTTCAGATCTGAAGGCTGTTGGGAGGAAAATGCTTCCTGATTAGGATTCTTCCTGCCAAGACACAACAATCAGGGCTCTGAACAACAAAATTGAATTAAGGAGCAAGCTGCTGAAAAGAAGTTTAATGACAAGAAACCAAGATGAGTGACATTCAGTGTGATTTCCTGGCTAGCTAGAATGATTGATATCCAAACATGAGTTTTTATACCCTTTCTGGGTTTTTCTGTCTAACAACTGCTTTGGTGATGTTTAATCCTGTTGATGGGTTAATTTCTCCTAGCTCTATTGGGCAGGGGAAAGGTTAGTCTTCTGTTTCTAAGAGAAGCAGGTTGATAAATCCAGCTATCTCCTTTGGATTTTGTTTTGATGATTGGCTTAACAAGCGCCAGCTGGCTCCTTTCCACACATGCAATATTCATACACTGAGCACATTCTTGTGGTTTCAGTGAATCGCAAGTGTTTCCGCCTGAGCTCGCCTGGGGCTATACAGTTTGTTAATGAGTCAGGCAAGGTTTTTTTCTTCCCTTGTGTTTTAGTTTAAGTGGTTTCTGATTTAATTATTTGTATTGTGTTTGAGTATTTGCTGGCTCATGTTTTCTTCTTCTATCAGGGGAGGGAGGTCTTCCTTCAAGGCAAAACATGCTCCAGAGCATGCAGGGGAGTGAAAACATAACACCTGACTGAGGTTAAGTATGTCTATAGATCCTACAATAGCTGAAAAATCCACAATAAGGCCCAGCTGCTATAAGGAATTGTAAATAAGAGCTACATTCATTGCCTTTGCACTTTAAAACTCTTTTTTGCCTTCAATGTAAAATAATGTACAGCTACACAATCTGACATAATTTGGTATTTTGCACCATTCATTTTCTTGTTGCCTTATAGTTTTTATTGCCATTAATATTGATGCTCCTGATTTTTATCTTATATCTAGATCTGTTCTGCTATTCTACTTTTTTATTTTTGAATTGATTTGAATTGAATTATTATGATGGGGATTGAAGTTCCACGATAATTGAAGGTCAATAGGTTCATCACCTTTTACCATCACTTGCATTCCTCACTGATTTTTTTAAAATAAACTGCTAGGAACATTACCTTTTATTTTCAGGATCACGGGCCACCATGACAAAAGTTGCATCTAACACAGGGGAATAGATTGCATCAAGTAACTAAAATAAAAGAATATGAGAAGGGAAAAACATGATTAGAAACAGTATCCAGTGATAATTCAATTAAAACTTGATACAGTTTCAGAACTGAACAATTTTTTTCCTATGGATGCCAAAAAGAAAAAAAGTAAGAAAATTTAAGTAGAATACATACTGCCAATATTTATTAAAAAGAGTTTGTAAGTAAGATTCTTTTGTCAATTTAATTGTGCCAGTCAAAAATCACATTCTCTTCAAACAGACCAAAATACACTTTAATAAACAAAGATGTTACGTTCCAGTTTGTACTTATTCCTTTTGAATACTATTTTACTATTTGGCTAACCTGCCACAGCCTTTTATTACAGGATGCAGTTTAGCTTGCCAAATGTAAGAATCTAAATTCAGAAACACTTAGAGCAAATGAAGCTCACTGTCGTTAACCTGAAGCATGTGTATCTTCACTTCCATTGAAGTTTTTCCAACCCAGGAAACATTCCCAGTGAACTTGATATCACAATCCGGATGAATATGCTGCTTCCATAAACCTAAAAGGATAGAAGATGGGGGTCAGAGCACAGATTCTAAGGACTAATAATCAACATTTATATAAGGGAGGACAATACTACTTTTAAGAGATCAATTTGGGGTCAGCAACCTTTTCAGCTTCATGCAATGTTGTAGTATCAATTATTTTCCACTGCACTCCTGCAAAAACATTGACACTCTTGGTAATCTTGCAAGAATTTGGTATTTTAAAATGTTAAACACCATTATTTAATTTTCCAGAAAAAAGTAATAACACGTCTTTTCTGTTCTGTTTAGATACAGTATCTAAAATATAATGTGATATAATGTCTAGCCTATGAAGTGATATATTTATTCAGTTGGATGAATATATATATTCAGTTGAATGAATATATATTCATCAGAACATGTAGTTATTCCTGAAAATAAATAGCGGTTGTTATTAGAGAAGGCCTTAGGCCGAGGGAGGCCACTGTCCCTCAGACGGCCGGCTGTGAGTCTCTCCTCGTGAAGTGGGGTCATGGGGTTCAGATGGGTTTGCTGATCACGTACCTGGCTCCCTGCCACGTGGCAGTAGCTCTGCCCGAGCTTCTCAATGTTATCGCCGCGGTGGTGGTTGATACCCCCAGACTTATGGTCATGGGGGATTTCAACCTGCCGTCCGTGGGTGAGGCATCTGAGGCGGCTCGGGAGTTCATGGCTTTCATTACGGCTATGGACCTAACCCAGTTAATTCATGGCCCTACACACGCGGGGGGAAACACGCTGGACTTGGTTTTTGTCTCTGGACAGTGGCTGAGTGATCTCGAGATAGGGGATATAGTCATCGAGCCCTTGTCATGGTCGGATCACTCTCTCCTTCGCCTTGACCTTCGAACCGCTGCACCCCGCCGCAGGGAGGCGGAACCGACAAGATGGTACCACCCCAGGCGCCTGATGGAACCTGACAGGTTCCAGATGGAGCTTGGGCCAATCCCTGAGGTTCTGGCTCACGCCTCAACTGGAGACCTAGTGGCCGCCTGGGATAGGGCGGCCGCTGGAGCTCTGGATCGAGTCGTGCCTTTGCGGCCTCTGACCCGGTGCCGATCTCACCTGGCTCCTTGGTTCACCGAGGAGCTAAGGGAGATGAAGCGCCGGAAAAGACGCCTAGAGAATAGTTAGAGGGCCAGTCATGCTGAATCTGACCGGACACTGGTAAGATCTCATATTAAGAATTACTTAGTGGCGATAAAAGCAGCAAAATGTACCCATTTTGCTGCTCTTATTGCGTCATCAGATAATCGCCCAGCCGCCCTGTTTAGGGTGACCCGCTCCCTGCTCCACCAGGAAACACGGGAGGACCCCTTGGAGGGAAGAGCCGAGGATTTTGTTCATGACAAAATCACTCAGATTCGGGAAGATCTGGACTCCGACTGGGTAGATCCAGCGGGGATGACGGAGGCAGGTCCTGAGAATGTTATCTGGGATGAGTTTGATCCTGTGACCCCTGAGGACGTGGACAGGATTCTGGGTAGACTGAATGTGACCACATGTTTGCTGGACCCGTGCCCCTCCTGGTTAGTGCTGGCTTCCCGGGAGGTGACGCGAGGCTGGCTCCAGGGGATTATAAATGCTTCATTGGGCGAGGGTGTCTTTCCTGCCACCTTGAAAGAGGCAGTGGTGAGACCTCTCCTCAAGAAGCCCTCCCTGGACCCGGCAGTATTGGCTAACTATCGTCCAGTCTCCAACCTTCGCTTTGTGGCGAAGGTTGTTGAGAGTGTGGTTGCACGACAGCTCCCCCAGTACCTGGATGAAATGACATATTTAGATCCATTCCAGTCGGGCTTCAGGCCTGGGTACAGCACGGAAATGGCATTGGTCGCATTGGTGGATGATCTCTGGAGGGCTCGGGACAGGGGGTGCTCCTCTGTCCTGGTCCTGTTAGATCTCTCAGTGGCTTTTGATACCATCGACCATGGTATCATGCTGCACCAGTTGGAAGAGCTGGGGGTGGGAGGCACTGTACTATGGTGGTTCTCCTCCTTTCTCTCCGACCGGTCGCAGTCTGTGTTGACGGGGGGCAGAGGTCGACCCCGAGGCCCCTTATATGTGGGGTGCCACAAGGATCGGTCCTCTTGCCCCTTTTGTTCAACATTTATGTAAAGCCGCTGGGCGAGATCATCCGTGGTTTCGGGGTGGAGTACCATCAGTACGCTGACGACACCCAGCTGTACATCTCCACCGCAGACCACCCCAACAATGCCCTTGAAGTAATGTCCCGGTGCCTGGAGGCCGTACGGATCTGGATGGGGAGAAACAGGCTCAGGCTCAACCCATCCAAGACCGAGTGGCTGTGGTTTCCGACGTCCCGATATAGTCAGCTGGTGCCATCGCTGACTATTGGGGGTGAATCATTGGCCCCCACGGAAAGGGCTCGCAACTTGGGTGTCCTCCTGGACTCACGGCTGTCTTTAGAAGAGCACTTGACGGCCGTGACCAGGAGGATTTTTCATCAGGTTCGCCTGATTCGCCAGTTGCGTCCCTTTCTAGATCGGGACTCCTTACGCACGGTCACTCATGCCCTCGTCACCTCCTGTCTGGACTATTGTAACGCTCTCTACATGGGGCTCCCCTTGAGGAGCACTCAGAGGCTCCAACTGGTGCAGAGTGCGGCCGCGCGGGTGGTGACGGGAGTGACGTGGCGCTCCCATGTAACACCTCTCCTGCGTGAGCTGCACTGGCTCCCGGTGGTCTTCCGAGTGCGCTTCAAGGTTTTGGTTATCACCTTTAGAGTGCTCCATGGCTTGGGACCTGGTTATTTACGGGACCGCCTGCTACCACCAATAGCCTCCCACCAACCAGTACACTCCCATAGAGAGGGGCTCCTCCGGGTGCCGTCGGCCAAACAATGTCGACTGGCGGCCCCCAGGGGGAGAGCCTTCTCTGTGGGGGCACCTACTATCTGGAACGAGCTCCCCCCGGAGATACAGAGGATCTGCGTACCTTCCGTCGCACGCGCAAGACCTTCCTATTTCATCAAGCCGGCCTGACCTAAGTCTTTCCCCTTTTTAAATGGAAATTTTAAATCTGGTTTTAAATTATTGGGGTTTTAAATTTGTTCAGCCAAATTATTTAATTCATTTTAATCTATTTTAAATTTTGTATTTATATGTTTTATTCTATGGCTGTTCACCGCCCTGAGTCCTTCGGGAGTAGGGCGGTATACAAATTCAATAAAATAAAATAAATAAAATAAAATAAATAAAAAGGTCATCTAAAAGTGTCAGGAGAGCTTTGACTTCTCTTTTGCACCTTCCCAACATCAGAGTTTAAATCTCAACTGTTTTTCACTGAATAACACAGTGTGAACTTACCAAAGAGATATCAAGCCATTACTAATTAAACACCTACCAATTTTATCCACGAGTGCTGTAACAATTGATAAAGGAGATCTCAGAGTGGCTTCATTTTTTGTATGAGTATAACAAATAAGAACTGTAAACAAATAAATAAACAGAGATCCTCTATTAATTAATTAACAGATAATCCTGTTGTTTTGCAAAGTGATCTCGACTATGTGTCGACTATTTGGCAGCTTCAAATTTTAATCAATAAATCCTCTGTCTTACATATTGGTAAACGTAATCAGAATGTCAAGTATAAGCTAGATGGCATTGAACTAGCTGATGACCCTCACTTTGTCAAGGACCTAGGTGTACTTATCTCTGACAGTCTATGCTCCAAAGTTCACTGTAACAGTGTTGCTAAAAAGCATTAAGAGTTGTAAATTTAATTTTGTGCAGTTTTTTTCTGGAAACATTGTTTTGCTAATTAGAGCTTATAAAACTTATGCTAGACCAATCTTGGAGCAGTGGTGGGTTTCAAAAATTTTCACTATCGGTTCGGTGGGCGTAGCTAGGTGAGGGGTATGTGACTGAGTGGGCATGGCCAACTTGATGTCACTCATGCCCATACCTCATGCCCATAGTCACATAATCCCCCCACCTAGCCACGCCCACAGGAAAAGGTAGGAAAAATTTTGGAATTTCCACCTATCTACCCCCGCCTTCCCTTTGCCCGTTTCCCCTCCTTTAGCGGCCCCAGCCCTAGCCCTGCTTCCTCCCCCACCACCACCTCTTTATTTAGGCTGCTTACCTTCCACGGTGGCTGGTCCAGAGTCCAGAAGACAAGCTGATCAGAATTTTTGGCGGACCCGCCACAGCTGCAAAGCAGCTCTCAAAGAGGTGGTAGCTGGTTGCCGAAAAGTACCAGAAGTCACAGAAAAAGCTGCTGCTGTCACGGCCATGTTCTTTGCACATGCGCATCCCATGTGCACATGTGCATCCCATGGACTTCCAAGGCAATGGGATACACGTGCATGAAGAACATGGTGGCAACGAACATGATGGGTGGGGTGAGCGAGTGGCGACCGGGGGACCGGTTCAGGGGCGTGGCCAGCCAGCCATCGCTACCAGTTCGGTGACCTTGGCCAAATTTCCGCCAACAGTTCTTGTGAACCAGTGCGAACAAGCTGAATACCACCTCTGTCTTAGAGCAGTGATCACCAACTGGTGGTCCATGGACCACTGGTGATCCACAAGAAAATTTTGGTGGTCCACAGAAAAATTAGTTGCATTTAAAAAAAAAAAAATACATCAGTTTTCTCTTCCCTGTGACATCTCGGTGTTATCTTCCAACGTTCTTTCTTCTTCTGTATAATTGTCATTTCTTCTATCTTGATCCTTATCCAGTCCAATATCAATTCCTCACTAACATAATATTCTACTCATCACATATTTATACATATTTATATAATTAATCATTTATATCTCTTCTCCAACCAATAATAAAAATCATTCCATATTCTGAGTCTTCTCTATCCTTAATCATCAGTTAATCTATTCATTTCTGCACAATCTAAAAAAAATTTATTACTCCTTCTTCCAAAGGTATTTTCTCTGCTTTCCAATTTTGTGCATAAACAATCCTTGCAGCTGTTATTACATGTATTATCAAATAAACATTTTCCTTGCTAATTTTTTCAGGTAGGATACCCAATAGGAACAGCTCTGGTTTAAATTCGATACATTGATGTATCATTTCCTCCAACCAAGTCTTAATTTTAATCCAATAGTTTTTAGCTTCTGGACATGTCCACCATATATGATAATATGATCCTGGTAATTGATGACACTTCCAACATTTAGCTGATTTTTCTTTAAACATTTTTGCTAGTTTCTCAGGTGGCATATGCCATCTATAAAACATTTTATATTGATTTTCCTTATATTTTATATTGATTTTCCTTTATAATTCCTTTCTCATAATTGTTGCCATTTTTCCAAATCAATTGAATATCCAAAGTTTCTTCCCCAAGCTATCATTGTTTCTTTTACTTGCTCCTCCTCTAATTCAATACTAAGCAAAAAATTATAATTTTTTAAAATTAAATTATCATCTGTTCCCATGAGTATCCTATCCAACTCAGTCTTTTCCATACAAAACCATATAATTTAGCATCTTTCTCGTATCTTGTTTGTATTTGCATATACATATACCAATCTGTCTCAATCCCCTGTTCTTCTAGTTCCTTTTTCCCTTTCAATTCTCCCCTGTCTGTTAGTAAGTCCTTATATCTAACAATATTTCCAAAACTGAAAACATTTCGGTGTATTAAAGCTTCCAAGTCAATAACCATGTTGGTATTTTCTTGTAGTATTTATCTCTTACTTTCTCCCAAACCAATAACAATGCATTTCTTACACAGTGTCTATGAAAATATGTTAAGTCGTGGGCGCAAGAATGGACAGGATATGCAGTAGAATCTAACACTCTTTATTAGCTCCGTAATCGCAATGGGGAATCCTAGCCGCGACAGCTCCTTTTATAGCTAGGAGCTATCTGCAGCTTCAGCCACTAACATTACTCTGAATTTCCCGCTCACGTCCCTGATTGGTCCGTTCAAATATGCCATTCAATACTCAACTCTAGTTGAGTATTCAACTCAATACCTCCCCTCTAGTTCAGCTAATCAATCCTGAAGTCTCTAGACGACGTAGTCAAGTAAGTAGGCGGGTCGTCTCGATGCGTGACTTGACCTGCACAGATCAGTCATCCCCGTGTTCTTGGAGTGAGAGGTCGAGTTCCATGGCTCTGCTGGCTCTGCCTCTGGAACTCTCTCGAACTCGCTCACCGGAGTGGAATTATTTTCCTGGATGTTACTTCCTTCCTCCCCCAGACGACATGGTGGATTGTAGCTGATGTTCGAATCCTCCTCCTGTACTTCAGGTAAGTGTGTGCTGTCTCTGCTCTTTGAGTTTTTCCTTTCGCTGTCTTGTGCTTGTACCTGTGGTAGGGTCTGGGTTCTTTCTATGCATTTTTCTGGTGGACCCTGTTCATTCCTTGTCACTTGGCCTCTGATCTGGTCGATGTGACGTTTCCACTGTCGGCTGTCCTCGGTCTGCAGTCTGTAGGACAGCGGTCCTGTAACTTGGGTTATTTCTCCCGGTATCCATAGGGGGTTGCTGCTGAAGTTCTTTGCGTAAACTTTGTCCCCCACTTGGAATTGCTGGATCTTGCTTGTGGAATCCGTAGGCTTTTCTGTGCTGTACTGTGGGTACAGCCTGTCTAATGGGGATCATAACTTTCTCCCCATTAATAACTCAGCTGGGCTTCGGTGTGTGAATGCGCTCGGCGTGATGTGCTGGATAGTGAGTAGCTTGTCAATTTTGGCCTGCATGTCCCTGGGCCCCAGCCTCGCTGTGTCTCTTTGGTTGTTCTCACCATCCTTTCAACAAGCCCATTCGTGGATGGCTTTCCTGGCGCGGATAATGCATGTCGGATTCCTTGGTTAGCCAGGAACATCTCGAACGCATTAGCAGTAAACTGGGGCCCATTGTCAGATTCTAACAAGTCGGGCAACCCGTGTGTTGCAAACAATCTTCTCAACACTTGGATGACAGCCTCTGTGGTTCTGGATGGCATTAGATAAACCTCTAGCCATTTAGAGAATGCATCCACTATGATTAAGAACATGTTGCCCTGGCATGGCCCCGCAAAGTCTATATGTATTCTTGACCAGGGTGTTCCTGGGTTCTCCCAATCATGTGTGGCTGCAGTGTGGGGTGCCAGTCGTGATTCTTGGCAGGGTGTGCATGTTGCTACCCACACCTCTATCTCCTTATCCATTCCGGGCCACCAGACGTAGCTCCTGGCCAATGCCTTCATTTTCACTATCCCCGGGTGCCCCTCGTGTAATAAGTTTAGAATGTCCTGTCTCAGCACCCTGGGAATTATGACTCTGTCTCCCCACAATATGCACCCTTTTAGTCCCGACAGTTCGGTTGTTTTGAATGACTGGAATTCCGTGTCCACGTTCACTTCTGGCCAACCCTTCCAGATCCAATTCAAAACATGCGCCAGGGTTTTGTCTTTCATTGTGGCTCTTGCAATGTCTACAGCAGAGATTTGGGCACTCTCCATTGTTTCGATGAGCAGTGTGGTTGATGCTGGAGCTGGGTCTTCTTCTATTTCCGGGAGTGGCCATCTGCTGAGAGCGTCAGCGTGGTCGATGGTCTTGCCAGGCTTGTATATCAGCTGGTAAACGTAGGCTGTTAAGAATTCTATTCAGCAAAGCATTCTCGGTGATAGTATCGGAGGTGTGCGTTTGTTTCCGGCGATGATGCCAAGTAGTGGTTTATGGTCGGTGATGAGTTCGAATCTCTGGCCATACAAGTATTCGTGGAATTTCTTTATTCCGGCTACTGCAGCCAATGCTTCCTTATCTAGTTGGCTGTAATTTCTTTCTGGCTTGGACAACGTTCTGGAATAAAATGCGATGGGGGCCTCTCTTCTGTTCGGCATGCAATGGCTCAGCACAGTTCCAATGCTGAAAGGTGATGCGTCGCAAGTCAACCTGATTGGCATCGTTCCACTGTATTGGACTAAAACTCTGTCCGATGTTAGTAGATTTTTTATTTCTTCGAATGCCGTTCTTTCCTTCTTCCCCCACTTCCATTCTGTTGTTTTATCCAGTAGCCGGTGGAGCTGTTCAGCAATTGTAGCTTTCTGTGGTAGGAAAATATTATAAAAGTTCAGTAATCCTAAAAAAGCTTGCAGCTCCGTTTTGTTTTTCGGGGTAGGTGCCTAATTGCCCTTTTCCAGGAGTGGGTTGTATTCCTGATTCATCAATTAAGTACCCCAGGAATTCTACTTGCTTTTCTGCCAAACTGCATTTGTTCTTGTATACCTTGAGCCCCACTTCTTGGAATCTAGATAGCACTTCTCTTAGGCGCTGCTGTAGCTGGTCTAGATTCCCTGCCGAGATGAGTACGTCGTCAAAGTATGGGACAACTCCCTCAATCCCTTGTAATAGGCATTCCATCAGGCTTTGGAACAACTCTGGGGCTACGCTGACTCCAAATTGTAACCGTTTGCACTTGAAAGCACCCCTGTGCATCATGATTGTCTGGGCCTCAGCTGTGGCATTGTCTACC